TCCCTAGAAACATTTGGGGTTGGTCTTTGTTTTTAACCTTGTCATGAGAAGCATTCCAAAGAAAGAAGTAGTTAGGCTGTTTCAAGAAAAAACTATGGGGAATATTTATATGAAAGAATGTCACGAAGGGGAACAAAGACAATATGTATTAATTTGCACTGATATGGATGAATATCGAGTAAAACCTTACATTTCCATTGGTATGTAGACCACTACAATGATGGAAGTCATCACCATGCCCTCAAGAAGTGTTGATGTGTAAGTAACACAACCCTGGTTTGTGAAGAAGCAAGCTCCATTTCTATCCATGCCATGATTATATGAGTCTGTACAAATGGAAAACCACAATTGTACTTTAGTCTTAAGTCTTTATATTCAACTCTTAATACAACCAAATCACAGATGAATGAAGCAAGAAGGAAAAGGTGATGCTAGTCCTTGGTCTTCTCTTTATATCTGTTGAAGTCACAGTCAGTGCTCATAAAGAATCACACTGTTACAAGCCAGTGCTGATTTCTCAAAGAGCAACCTAGTAGTAATATCTTCCCTCATGACTCATCTGCTATTTATGAGCTCGCCTGTTCATGGCCTAGTGTAAACAATTGCTTCCCTGATTCCTCTTAGTGCTAATGATGTCTCCATGAGTATTAAAAGTTTCTTTACATTGTATCACTGTCTTCTGATTTGGGGGGAGTAGGGAGGTAGGGGATAATCTTTCATCTTCCCCTCACTCCCAGGTTTCATTGCTCCCTTCTCAGGTTTTGCTCATCTCATAAGCAATGCTTCTCAACTACGACTGCACATTGGAATCATGTGGTGAAAGTTGACAGCACCAAGGTGCTGACTCCTGGGTCTGTCTCAGGTCAATGAAATAAGAAATGAAACTATTGAAGTGGACTCTGGCCTTTTAAGTCCAAAGTCCTCTGGATATGTTCACTGAAAACCCTGGGTTAAACGTGAATATTTCAAAAGTTCACATTTTCCAAGACTTTGTCATCTGAAACCTTACACTCTCTTTACATAAGTCCAACCTTGGCGATTGTAATTGTCAAAAAGGGCTAAATTACACTGTTTGATGGGAAAGGATAATTTTAGCTGCAATGGCACACCAACACTACATTTTCCTTAGGTTAACAGAGAGATTTGAGTTGCATTAATATAAGGTTTCTTTGTCTCCCTCCCATTCTTCTTCCTTCTCTCTCTTTCTTCTTCCCTCTCTTCTCTTCCTTCTTCCTTTTCTCTTCTTTAATGCTGTATTAAACCTTTAAACTCATTTTTACAAGTTTCCTTAGCTTTGCCAGTAGACACAGGACTGTTACTAGTAAAGATATTGAGTAGGTATGGCAAAAGAGAAATGTTTCCTTTTTCTACATTGTTTTTTTTTTTTTTTTTTTTTGGTAAGCTAAGGAAGTGACAGTTCTCACAGATCTAGACTGGGCCTGTATTTGGCCTTGCATATTCAGCAACTTGTCAGCTAGTTTCCCCATCACAGTTTGTTGCAGTTGTAGGAATTCAATGTGCTACAAACAACCTTACCTTGCTAGCTCCTTCTGATCTCCCCATTAGAATCTTGTGAATAGAACAAATGTGTGCCCAGTTTCCCAGTTAGGTTTAATCCCTACACCTTCCTTACCTAGCAAACTTGTTGTATTTCTGAAATATTGCCCACATAAGTCAGAATCAGCAACGTACACAACCTCAAATATCCACCCTCTGAGCACCTAGACCATCTCTGTAGTTGATGCCTTGCCTAGTAGGCCAACAGAAGTTAGGACCATTGATGCATGTGGCCGTGAATGCACAGCACCTGAGCAGTTAGACTATGTGCATAGCTAATCCTGTGGTCTGGGAGGCTGCTCCTCTCTCAAGTTTCTTCAGAGTGAAAAAGTCCACACTGTCACTAGACTGTCCCTTTCCCAGGTCAAGGCTGTACTTATTGACTGGTTTTGTGTCACTTCCAGAGGCTTTTGTCAACACATTACAGGGTGGATTTCTAATAAATCCCAGATGGAATATTCATTCCTACCCCATAATGGCATAACAATTTCTATACCTTAGCCAAGCCGCATTTGCTTACTCAAGCCAGTTGGGTATCCCATCCCTGAGAGCAAGCCATGTACATGCTGGGGTGCTCTACCTTGGCCCCATCAATACTGAGTGTTCCTCATATCTGCTATAATTATATCCTATGGCTCTTTTGACTCCTTGTTAATAAAAAGAAGTCATTTCTTACATTTATATTTGAGCACCCTTTCTTAATTTCTTCTTTATTGCATCATATCAGTGTGAAGATGGACTTTATGCACATCATTGAAGAACATTCATTTTTAAATAAGTGTATTAGTCAATGTTACCCTAACAGGTTATAGAAAGCTTGTTGTTTTCAACCATATTTATACAATGGGATTTGAATCATCTTTGATTTTACTAATGCCCACTTGAAGTCTTCATCTGTTATTCTGTTATTCACTAACTTTCTCCCTGCCCTAATTATAGTGAGACCTACTTAGATCATTAAGAACACAGTGTGTTTCTCAGAACTTTTGTGGTCCTTGTCCATTTTCCTTTAAGGCTCAACATGAAAAGGAGAGGGGAGTTTGCTACACTGATGGTTTCTGAATCTGTCTCTGGTTCAGTGATGTGTTCGTGATTGTGTAAAGTCTTGAAAAAGTAGAGAACATTGAAATAGCACCCTAGCAGCGGGCATCATGTGGAAAGAAGAATGGAACATGAGGCTAAGCTTGCACTTGAACAGAAGTTTGAAGTTTTGTTAAGCCTGAGATCATGGAATTTATCAAAAAAAAAAAAAAAAAAAAACAAAACCTAGGTCTTGGAACATAATGGCTACAGCTGCAGACTCTATTACCTTGTCAGCAACCCATCCACCCTGGTAATAAACCAACACCCACAGTAAGAACAAGAGAAACTGATGCTCTATTCTATGTATCATTTGTAAATAAATAGCTTATTTTCAGTGTGCACTAGATTCTCTCACCCTTGTAAGATTTATGAGAATATTTCAATACTTTTCTGTAGTGGTTAGTTTTCCCTCCATGTCTCTGTACTCTGTATAAAATAAAAGGTAGTATCTAGACAGCATAGAAGAATCTGCCAGCTTTGGTTTGATTATCTCATAACCTGTGAATAAGGTATGCTACCCTTTTTCAACCATAGGGTCTTACCAAGGCTCAGATAACATCTTGAAAGAGAAGAATGTAGAGTAAATAAGGACTGAGGATGGTGAGGCATATTACTCCGGTTATAACATAGCTGTTACACTCATAAACTCCATGAAGCAATGATTTTCTGTATAAGACTTGCATAAGATTGGACATATCAAAAATCTGAGAGTAGAGAGAGGGGCTCATGATGATACAATAATGTAAGAGATCCCAAAATTTTCAGCAACTTCTGGAAACAATTGAAAATTTTAACAAAGTAGCAAGACAAAGGAATCAAGTTACAAAAATTTGTAGTCTTTCTAGACACTAATAATAACATTGTGTAAGAGACCTGAACACAGTTCCCTTGCTGTAGCATCAAAGATAATAAAATATCTTAGAATAAAATTAACCAACGAGGTAACAGTCCTCAAACATGAAAGATTAAAATCTCTGGATAAAAACAGTTAAAAAGATACTGAAAAATAGAAAAACATGATATATTCATGATTTGATAGAATTTTTATTGTAAAATTAACTATCCTGCCAAAAGCCATTTACAGATTCAATGACATCCAAGTCAAAATGTCCACGACATTCTCCACAAAACGGGGGAAACTTTCCTAAATTTCATTTGTAACCTGGAAAGTCTCTGAGTAGCCTAAGCAAGCTTGTGCAATATGAATAATACTGGAGGGAGATATTCTAGAATTTAAGATATGTTCTCGAGCTCTAATAATAAAAACAATATGGAACTGGCACAAAACAAACATGTAGACCAACAGAAAAAAATAAGAAACAAATAGGAGTACACACAACTACAGATGACTGATATTTGAGGAAGAAGGAAACAATTCACTGGAGAAGTGATAGCATCATCAACAAAGGGTGCTGGGATGACAGGGTGCCTACAATAGGCTGATATTAGAACCATATCTATCACCTATCCATGTAAATCAAAGACCTCACGAAACATGGATGTTAAAACAGCTAGAAGATAATGTAGACAGTACCCTGCAAGATATAAGTGTAGGAAAGGACTATCAAAACAAGACTCTATTTGCCATAAAATTAAAACCAACAATTGACAACTGAGACCTCATAAAAAGAAAAGCTTTTGCACACCTAAGAAAATAATCAATGCCGGAAAGATTAAACCTGTAGAGTGGGAGAGATTCTTTGCCCATTATACATCTGAGAGAGGATTAATATGCAGAATATACAAAGAATGAAAGCAAGCTAAGGAAACAAATGATCCAATTAAAATGGGTTAGGGAACTAAACAGAGTGTTCCCAATGGTTGAACTAATATTGACTAAGGAATGCCTCAAAGAGCTTTCATCATTCTTAGCAATTAGGGAAATGCAAACAAAAACAACACTGAGATTTCATCTCAGCCTAGTCAGATAGCTAAGATCAACAAACAGCTGATAACAACTACTGTTACAGTCGTGGGGATGGGGAACACTCGTTCACTGTTGCTGGAAATGTAGATTGGTATAACTACTCTGCAAGTCAGTGTAAAGAGTGCTCAAAATACTAAAAGCAAATTGACCATATGACTCTGCAATATTGCTGTTAGGAAAAATGCTCAAAGAACTTGACATCCGACTTTATAGAAACTTCTCAGCAATGTTCATAATGGCTCTATTCACAATAGCTAGGAAACAGAAACAACTTAAATGCTGTTCAACAGTTCTTATTCTATGCAAATTTATAGTTACATTTTAAAATCTTAGCTTTAATTTCCAATATTTTAAATGATATGATAGATTCCATATATATATATATATACATATGTATATAAGCTCTGTGTTTTCTTTTAGTTTTTGTTTTATTAAATATTGAAGGCTCTATTTGTTTTTATGTATCATTCTTATGCAAGGGCCATGCTAATCTTCTCTGTACCATTTCGATTTTTCTATTTGTGCTACTGAACCAAGCACTTCGATGGATTTTAAGAATCTGAGAGTATATGTAGAACTTACATTGAGAAGTAGATTTGAACAATATTTGTTCTAGACGCTTGTAACATTATTTCCCCACATATATAAAGTTACCATTACTGCTGAGACATTTCATTCTGACCTCTATTCTGGCAGTGATGCTCTTCAAGTTGTATTTCTTTGTCCACATAGGTAAAATTTTCATTCATTTATTCAATATGCTTTTAGTTTATTGACAACAACAAGCCAACCAAGTTCAAAGGTTGGGTAGGGCAGACTATAGACTAGGATTCTGCAGCTTTCTTAATCACGGAGTATCTACACATCAGTCCTTAAGACAGACAAGAACAAGGATGGTCTCAGTCAGGACAGGTTGAAGACTGTTAAATTAACCACCCCAGGCTTTAGTGACATACTCCCATCTGATATTTGCCAATGATGGGCAATAGAACTCCCTTCCTTCCTAAAGCTCCTGATGAATGCCTCAGGAGGGTGTAAAAACATTTTTAAAAAAAAAATCTTTAAATCAATATTGTATGTAGCTCCGATTAAAAAAATATAATGTCTCTAGAACCCAATTTTTCCAAGATATAGCAATGTTTCTTACTGAACCACAGTTAACTATGATATTGCATAAATCACAAGAACTGTCACACTTTCCCTTGTGACCTGAAAGAAGATGAAAATCCATGTTAGGTGGAATTAACTGACAGAGTACCCTAGAATTCATTTTGGGCAGTGAGATGGGGCTGGAGATGTAGCTCAGAGGTGATGTACTTGCCCTGTGTACAGGAAACCCTGGGACTGTCCCTAATACCACAACAAACTCAACACTGCTCTGCATTAGCAAGAACTGCTTCTTAGATAAGTTCCCAGTACCTGAATGGGAAAGGAAAGCAAAGGAAGGAGGAATAGGAAACAAAGGTGTGATAACTGAACTCAAAGTGACCGTGTACTTTTCACCTCAGAGGGTCGGCTGGGCAGTGTTGGCGCACGCCTTTAATCCCAGCACTTGGGAGGCAGAGGCAGGCGGATCTCTGTGAGTTCGAGACCAGCCTGGTCTACAGAGCTAGTTCCAGGACAGGCTCCAAAGCCACAGAGAAACCCTGTCTCGAAAAACCAAAAAAAAAAAAAAAAAAAAAAAAAGAAAGAAATGATAGTTTATATTCAGCAAAAAAACTAGTGGTCCTCTCAATCGTGAGACAAACTTAGCTGTGTTTTGAAGGCCCACATACACAGCACTACTGAATTTTATTCTGCAAACCATAGCCACTCCAATGGACAAGTTAAGGAACAAAGCGTTCAGAAAGCAATTTACTGTGAGAAAGAAACTGTTCAAACATAGAAGGAGAGGGAATGAAAAGAGATTAAGGACAGAGAATGAGGAAGTATCACAAAAAAAAAAACCTCATGACATGTAATGGAGAATGAACATGAGAGACACATTTGATAGGTGACTGTCAAGACGAATTTATTTTTAAAGTGTGACTGTCGATGTAGCATTTATAAAAAGTAAATCAGAGAGTTGTGTCAGGGCTACTCTTTTTTTTTTGTTTAAAAATCTTTATAAATAAATCTTTATAAATCTTTAAAAAAGAAAGAGAATCAGTTCTACCTGCATGAGTAGACAAATTCAGAATGAAAATGAAAACCTGGTGATAGATACATACATACATACATGTGTTTGTTTCTTTTTGTTTTGTTTTGTCTTTGAGATGTATTTTTCTCAAGATAGTATTCATATAGAAATAAATTCATTTGTCACTCATGCATGAGACCCTGGGTTCCATCCCCAGCACAGGGCTACTCTTTAAATGACTACTTAAAATTCACACTGAAAAAGTAGGATGTAAATCAGACCCGTGACCAGGAAGGTTTGGGGAAATGCATTGGGTTCCATTTGGGGCATTCAGGCTTGAGGTATCTGTGGTGAACAGGGTAAGCGATGCAAAGGGAGCAGATGACCCTGATGCACAGACAGCAGAAGGGAAGTTTAGGGAGAATTATATCATGGCCCTGTAGAATACCGGGTTTAAAATTAGATGGGAAATAGGATTACCCTGCAGAGTTCCAAAAGATGAGTTAGAATATGAATTAAAGATATGATTCCAGGTGGGCAACGTAGCATGGTCCTCAAACTGTAGCCCACAGCAGGTGAGCAAGCAAGAATCCTGGGGCCCAAGGCAATCCAAGATATGCAGTGAATCTCCAACACCCAAGGGACTAGAGATGAAGCTCAGCAAGATGCCTGCCTTGCCTGAGAGAGGCTCTGGGTCTTATCCCTGTCACCATAACAAAAGAGAAGGTACTATTCTAATGATCTAGTCACTGTTTTGGTTGCTTTTCACCTCATTTGCTAAGTGTATTCGTTTTTGGTTTGATAACTTGTTTTGCATGTAATTATGCACATGTGTGCTTGTGTGAGGGTATGTGAGTGGGTACCTGCGTATAGGTTCCCTAGGAATTTAGAGGCATTGTATGGCCTAGAGCTGGAGTAACAGCTGGTTCTTTTTTTTTCTTGATATATTCTTTTTTTTATTATTATTAAAAATGTCCGCCTCCTCCCTGCCTCCCTTTTCCCTCCCCTTCCCCCCACTCCCCAAGCCCCCCTCCCCTCCCCCTCCCTTCCAGTCCGAAGAGCAGTAAGGGTTCCCAAGACAGCGAGGGTGGCACCCACCCACTGAGATGGTGGGGGCTGATCTATTGTAAGCTCACCAAGGCCAGCTGGACTGGGACTGAAAAAGCATGGGATAAAACCGGACTCTCTGAATATGGTAGTCAATGAAGGCTGCTAAGAAGCCAAGGACAATGGCACCGGGTTTTGTTCTTACTTCATGTACAGGCTTGTGGGAGCCTAGACTGTTTGGATGCTCACCTTCCTAGACCTGGATGGAGGGGGGAGGACCTTGGACTGCTAACAGCTGGTTCTTAATCACCAGATAAGGACGTTGGGAAATGAACTCCAGCCCCCTACAAGAGCAGGGCATGCTTTTAAGTAACAAGGCTCTTCTTTAGTTCCTCCTTGGATTTTAAAACATAAATCATGAAAACCCCATCTCAGATGTGATTCATTCACTTTTGTAGATTTTATAATTGAGGATATATCCTTTCAGAAAAAAAAAGTGTATCTCAAAAAACCTCCTTACATTAGTTCATCCTTGAATAATATACACTAAAGCATCCCAAAAATACATACACACCATCTTTTTTTTTAATTAAGAAAAAAGCTATTCTATAAGAAAAAAAGATGAAAAGAAATTGTTGGCTTCTGGTTCCCTACAGCATCTGAGATAGATATCTCTGTGAATGAGGTTCCCAAATTGATTAACTAAGTAATTCAATCTGAAGGAGAAGACAATGCTGCCCTTGAGGGTTTCCACTGACATCAAGTTGAAGGTTCAGCTAGAATGGGGCATATGATGAGCACCCCCAGACCACTTCCTTCCTTTTTCTTCAGCAGGAAGTTTGGAGTTTACCCATCTCTGTGTGAGACCTGTGGTTATTTTGAATTAGCCTGTTTGATGCCATTAGAGAGGAAAACGTACTCTAGAGCCAAATGACACAAGTGTGTGTCCTGACATTAACTTTAATGTGCACCTGGGTTTCAAAAAAGGAAAAACAGAAACCCAAGTTCCTTTCTTTCCCTTTTGGGATTCAACCCTAACACCATTTTGTTTAAATTTCATAGTTTCAGTTTCATCAAAGTCAAATGTGTTTATGTGAAATTGCACACCAGATGTTCGTAGCCATGGATGTTGTGGAGGATTTCGTTGCCAATGTGACCCTGTGGATTTCATAACTATGAACCAAAGCCAGGATGTTTATATAAGGTTTCAACCATGGACTATATGGAAATTTGGTAATAAGGGTGATATGGTCTCAGAGATATATCTATTTTATATATTTTAAGTGGTTTGTTTTAGGCAAATTAGGGCCTGTACAAATTGAAGTTTGAAGAGGTGTAAATGGATGGAAAGTCTTTATAGCTATTGTTTTTGTAATTCTTCTCATCAGTGTGATGTAACCTGTAAAGTAAGAGAAAGGAAAACAAGGTTTGCTGAACTTTAAACATGTTGCTTGTGTAGCTGGATTGTCAACGTCATTGCTTAACAGCCATACTTGCACTCCCGCCTTTTTTTTTAAAGCACAGATTGCTGAATCTCACCACCAAGTTTCTAAATCTGGTCCTGGATGCAGTCTGAGTTTTTCCAATGCTCTATCAGGGTCTAAAACTGCTGTTCTTTGTCCAAGGGCTATAACTTTGTGAGGCTGAATGAATATCTGGCCGAATCAAGCCTCTTTAATGTATCAGTCAATTTAGTGTTGCTGGAAAAAAAAATCCCGGAAGTTGGATTTTCGTTGTTGTTGTTGTTGTTGTTATGAAAAGAGATTTACTTAGCTTTCATTTTTGAGGCTGGCATTCCGAATAATATATTGCTGGCTCTGGAATGATCTCTTGGGTTGTCATTACATGATAAAAGTCATCACACATGCAAAGAGGAGAGTAATTGGCAAGCTAGAATGTCCACGGCATGGAGGGGGTAGTTTATGTCTTATAGCAACTAATTTTTGAGAGGACTAGCAGATCGTGTGAGAACTACATAAATGTTTCATGAAGGCAATGTCAAAATGTCCTAATTGCGTTCATTAAGACCCACGTTCAGCATTACCTCACTGGAACCAGGAGTCTAAGTCAAGAGTTATTGGGAGACCAATCACATCTAAATCAGTCTGACTCTTTGCGTGGAATAAACTGATGTTTATTGGGAATTCCAGTCACCATGTGAAAAGCATTACAAGAAGGAGGACTATCTAGAGTCGCCCAGAAAACCAGACAGAGGAATCCAGTTCATCTACAATGTCTTATCGAATGCTCCTGTAGACAAAAGTGATTGCACAAAGGTAAACAGTTGTGATGCAGGTCCAGCATGGGTCATCCAGTGTCCTCAGATAGTGGCCTCTCAATGAGCAACTGCTACGGAACAAATCCCAAGTGCCAA